AGAGACAGCCCCCACCCCCCACCCCTGAGTTGCTGCTCTTAATATCTAAACACACAATATAATTGTAAGTATATAACTAGGACTTAAGTCCAATTAAAACAGAAAAAAATGTATAAAAATTTGACTACAATGTTTTAGGAGTGATATTTCTTAAATAACATTTCTTAGTAAATCTACTGTTAGTTTTATTGATGTCTAGCCTACTTGACACAGACATTGCAGACTGAGATATGTTTTTGCATGTATGGCTTTTTCAAAAATGCTGGAAGGAATTTAAATTCACCTGAAGGAACAGTCCTCATCTGTCAAAGGGAGACTTCCATGCTTTATTCTGTTGTGAAAATAATGCCTCAAGAGGTGTTCTGATATACATTGTGCCATACTAAGCCATAACATCAGGCTCAACTCTTAACTCCTTAAAATCACAGGAAATGTGCAGTGTATTAGAATTGTATGTTGAGGCCCTTTTAAATGGTTTGTTTATTTTGATCTGAAAAATGATTGATAATTTCTTCCCTTTGAAGTTTCCCAGAAAAAGCTCTTGTGGCTGAAGAAATGGGCCGAAGACATGCAGATGGCACTTTCACAAGTGATATCAACAAAGTCCTTGATGACATGGCTGCCAAAGAGTTTCTAAAATGGCTGATTAACACAAAAGTTACCCAAAGGTGTGTGAATTTTGACTGCGTTATTCTTAATGTACTGGGGTTTTAAACATATTTCTCACACATAGAGAAAATACTGCTCATTTTCCTCTTAACTATTGATGTATCTGTAACTGTGTTACAAACTTTGTTACAGACAGTACTGAATAAGGATAAAATCCTAAACTAAATTCATTCCAAATATAATTTGTATTCTGCATCAAAGGTGAAGCTATATAATAGTTTGCTATTTAACTTGAGGGGAGTTTTTCCACTGAATGTTACCAGAAGTAAGGTCATATTAAATTATTGAAAAATAAAACTCTCCTTTGCACAGGTATTATAAAATCAGAAATATATTGGTAAAATTACATCAAATTGATTATTCTTTAAAGACTGTGATATAAAACACTGCCTTAAACTGTGGCTTGTCATTAGGGAACAGGGTATTTTAATCTGAGTTCCTGATAGCTAATTATTTAAGAACCCTGCTTTAGTTTGTCTGTATATAGGCAAATGCTCCTGGCAAAGCAGTATTTTCTATGTGAGCTCTGTGAATTAAGAAATATTTGTTAATATTAACAAAGCATTTCAAAAATAATAAAATGCCAACTCAAGGCACAAGTGAGTGGCCATATTTTTTAAATGTTGGATATAACAATTAATTACTTCGGACTACTGAAGCACCCAAAATGACTACTTGATCTTGGAAATCTGAGACAACCAATATTATCTCAAAAAATTTAGAAGCTATAGTTAAACCACAGTTTTTATTAACATCTAAATATTTTTTGTGTTTGTTTGTAGTTCAGTATTGAAACAAACAAACAAAGAAAATAATATATTAGAAACTATTAAAAAGCTTTTCCTTTAGGAATAATTGTTTTCCATCCATTATTAGAGAGAGGCATTGAGGGGTCTGTGGAACTAACATCTGCTAATCCTTAAACAGAAAAAGTATGTTCCACGCATATTTCACAAGTCTCAGGAGATTTATAATATATCCTAACTGCTGCTGCTTTTTTTTTTCCAGGGACCTTTTGGGAGAATATCAGTAAAAATGCAGAATAAAAATGTGATACATGAAGATCTTCATTGCATCAACTGCCAGTTATTAAGAGATTCTGAAACCTGTATTCTGTCATTTACATTAGGTGTAACAAAGCTGTGTCACCTTGCATGCCAGGAAATAATTGTACTATAGTTTAGTGTTGCCAAAGGTTTATATATGGAAAACCCATTGTCTAAGGGATGGTTATCTTAACAGCTTTAAAACTACAAAAGTTCCATATCTTCATATTTTTCATTTATTAGGACTGAAGTAACTCCATTTATATTTAATGATAAAATTATTTTTCTAAAAAGTTGACTTCTACACACAAAGGATTCAATCACCAAGTATATGTGTTATTTGTAAGGGTCTGGCAGTTACAAATGCCTGAGAAGTGAATATCCCTCTAAAAACCTTTGTTATAAAAAGGCTAAGCTTTAAGGATATTAAATGATAGCCTTAAATAAATTTTTTCAAGCTTCTTTTCGGTTGACTTTTCATGTGTATATCCCTTGTGGCTTTTTGCACTCCATTTTATTCTAATATGCTAGTGTCACTGAGAACTTGGAAGCGGTTTGTTTGGAATGACAAATGTCACATTTTCTCCATAATGATTCTCAGAAAAGAGCTGTGTGAACTTTGAATTACCTTCAGTTGAAAAAGAAATCATGTAAGATGAAGCTAGAGGGGGAAACAAGACTGAACAGACAAGTATTCTTCATTAGCATAAATTCTGGTTTCTCAGTAAAAGCAGGAGGACAGCTTTGAAAAATATTAAGTGCAATACAGTCCATTAGTAGTGGAAACTGACACATAACTTCTTCAAATTTTATAAGATTGCCAAGTAAAGCCAACTCAAATGGTCCTGGGTCACTCTCATCTGTGTGGTATTCTTTTCTTCCTTCTTCCTTTGAGAACTGCTTTGTCCATCATCTCTTGCATTTAGCAACATTATACTGTAACTTACAGGCACAACTGCCATTTCAGTAACCTTCTCCGTTAGGGGGACAGAACACTTTGCTTGCAGATCTCAATTTCTAGCAATCCAAACATCCTCTCAGCTGGCCAGGGCATGTTTTTGTAGGTATGGCAGTAGCTGAAACTCTCAAATAGTCACAGGTGCTGTTATGCACCTCTTGTTTCTGATGTCTACCCAAATCCCCCTTTCTCCCCTTGCAGTATGCCAGGTATCTATATTAAAATGTCCTAAAGGGCAAGTGGTTTAAGAGAAAGCCAATGGGCTTAGCAAGTGTCTAGTAGAAGTTGATGTGAAGCAGGAGCGTTATTGAACCAGAATTAGCACCTATAACTTTTGCTTGGAATAACTAGTATTGGGTTTTGTCTCATTTGTTTTTTAAAGGCATCTGAAACTTTAACTGATGGTCTACAATTTCTGGAAAAACTAAGATTAGATTGTACTCCCAAAGTGCTACAGGAACTCATATTCTGTAATTTCAGATCAGGACTGATCATATCTAACTTGGCATTTAAAAGAGCTTCTTGACAGTAACAGAAAGGTGTTCTAACATCCCAACTTTAAACAATTAAAACTCAATAGAACCTTGAGCTAAAAATATTTATCAGAGCATCCAAAATACCACTGGAGATTAATTAAGGGGGGTGTGGGGGGGGAATGTATACACATTTGTTGTTTATTTAATCCCATTTGTACACAGTGGTTCCAAGTGCTTCTGGAACTGAAAAAGATTCAGCTACACACAGTTGAATCCATATGGTCCAGGCTGAAATGGTACAGTTAACTCTTCTATTTTCATAGACTAAGAAATTATCTTTAAAATGTTTTATTCCAATATGTCCAGAATATTTAGTGCTCTGACAGACAGGATTCCTGAGTTACAAATCCATTCTCCTGTGGTGTCTGTCAGCAGTATATTTGACCACCTCCTGATGATGGCTTTGTCAGCTATGAAAATAACTGTGTTCCCAAATTTTTACATATTATATGCTTTTAGGAACAGAGAGGTATAATTTTCTCAAAGTTAGGCAATATGTCTGGAACACAGCAAAAATATTTAACCTCTAATTTTCTAAGTCCCAAACTAGATCATGAATCAAAAGATACCCTTTCTTGGAAGTGAGATGAAGTTGAGCATGTTCCAGAAGTTCCAAACACATGTTTTAGCTCAACAAGACTAGGATTTATATATCCTGAAATGACAAAGCAAATCCATATAGGATCAAAAATGAGGTATGTGCTGGTTATTTCTTATACATGCTAGATGAAATTCATTGAATGGTACAAACATAGGGAGAAATAAGCAGCAATTGCTTCTTTTAAAAGTGCCTTTACTAGACAATAGCTACCCATGTCTGCATGCTGAGAGAGGCCAGAATAGCTGCACCATTCAAGCCTAGCAAGCATTGCTATTTATGTTTTAATTTTAATTTTGTACTTCTAGTAAGGGAGAGAGATAATTCTAGACCTTACTTGCAGTGAGTGGTACATTGGTATAGAAATCTAGGAACAGAGTGGCCTGAAGATTCCTTTTAAATAATAGATGGTTTTCAAAGTTTTCAGGCAATGAAGCAGCAGCTGTCAGTTATTATGTTGATTGCAAGCCTGCTGCTTGTATGAGGGGGCTTCAATTTGCCCTTGGCAAATAAAGGAAGGGAAGTGGGACTGCTTAAGGGAATCATGCTCAGCACCATATTTCAGCATTACCTACAGGGATACACCCTCAACCACTTTCACAAACATTAATCTTCCTTCCGGTCAAGGACCCAAACGTATAATCACATACCCTGGTGTGTCTGAGGGGTCTTGACTAATATGCTGTCAAAGATGGCACTGTTGTAATGCCTCTCTGTGATGCCTCTCACATGAGTTTTAGGTCTACAAAAGAGTTAGGATATGAGCCCCATCTTATTTGAAATACATTCTAAATATATCATAGATGCATTTTATGGTGCATAAACTTAATTATTCTGTTTCATTCACTCCACACAGACTTCCTCACTCTAGTAGAAAACTGAACCTTATACCTTCTTTAAATTGTATAAAACAGTACTACTGGCCCAGATGTCTTGATTGCATCATATATGTGAAACTTCTACAATTTGATATTTCATGAACTCGTGTGTACCTAGAGTCCTCTGTGTATCTGCACACATGCCATCTAGAACCTCTAGGTGGCCTTATATTAAAAACTGTTCCCAGTATTAACTCCTTTATTAACTGTATTTTATATGTTGAGTATGCAGCATCCTTCCTCTTCCACCCTATTTACTAAGTATCTGGAAAAATAAGCATATTGAAACAAAACAAGACAACTATTTGGAATTAATACAATAAAAATTAACAGAAATCTGAGATTCTTTAACCATTCAACTGTGCTCTGAGGACATGTGGCAAGACTCTTCAGATGCCAGGAAAATAATTTTATAAAGAAAAATACATAAACTTGAAAGAACTGAATGATAGCTGCTGCTTGCCACGTTGAAATGGTTGTCCCAATCATAGAAAACATGGTTTTTTCTCATTTGCTTTCATGATTTATGGTTAACACTCTTCACAATCCTGTCAAACAGAACCAGTGTAAAGATGAAACTGTCCTTATGCTATTTCAGCTTCAAAATGCAAAGAAACAAAAAGAAATTATTTCGGAAAAAAACCCAGACATTTTTAATGTATTTGGTAGCAAAAGATACAGTTAAGTAGAACTTGAACACTCTTCAGTGCTAATAGCATTTTTGCCTTCTGTTCCTCACAACACATCTGAAGTGAGCCACTGAATCAGTATTAAACTTTCTCCAGCACATAATTTGTCTCCCATAGCCACACACTGAGACATCTGGAACACATTATTGCACTGTAGATTCTATACATTTTAGTCACAAACAATAAATTTTTTTTGTTCTGGAGAGCTTATGTTTTCCTATTTGACTTCTCCAAATATTTCTGGAGGAAAGACTCAAATATATAAACAGACTTATAACAAAATTTTGAGTTTCACTGAGGCTAGAAGTCTGAAGGAGACATCACATCTGGCAGGTCCACCAAGTGTTTGGGAAAGCCAGCCTTCAGGCTGAAAACTGTATTTTGGTTCTTTCTAGTAAGTACCTCTTCTTAATCTTTATGAATACTTTCATGTTCAGCATACAATATGATGAACAGCTATCACTTCTCAAATTTTATCATGTAGCAGCCACTGCTGGATATTCATTTCTTTAATCTCATGGCATCATATTAATACATGTCTGACTGCAAAAGAACAGCATGATATAAAGGAATCTGAAATATTTAGCTGGAGCAACATTTTAAGTCTCAGGCTATCACAAAAGACAATCTGACAGAGCACCAGAAGCATAACCATTACAGTAATTTGGGGGACCATGGGTATTTTGATCAGACAGGAGGAACTTCAGATTTTTTCAGTGTGCAGGGAATCACTAATGGGAACTATTACAGCTAAATGAAAAACATATTCTGCTATATTCACTCTTACTGGATGACTCAGGTGATTCTGAGTACAGAATCAGGTCCCAGAAGCCTCTCTGGCATGACCAGTCAGAAGTACTATAGACATTTTGGTCTAGATAAATGAATCCAGATTTCCAAAGGTAATGAAAATTGTGTACCCACTGAAACCAGCAGAAGCTAGGCATATGCTTTGTCAGCACAGGTCCTTTTTTATTCTTAGAATTAACCACTGAGAAGCATTAAAACCTTGCAGATAATCTCTCAAAATATTATTATTAAACTGAGGCTTGGCCATGTAAAGTTTAGTAACATTCAGGTACATTTTATCACAAGACTGAGATTATAATTTCGCTCTACTATACTTTGAGACACAGTGATGATCACTATTTAGATGTGTAGAAAACAAAGCACGGATTGGCTGATAGATGTTGTGATTCCTACTCACTGGGAAAAGGAAAACTCACCCCAAAGGTGGGGGGAGCGTTGCATTGTTTCTCTTTCTTACTGTTGCTGGTAGGATGAGCAAGTATACACTATACCAGATAGATATCTAAGTGGAGCTGTAAAACATTCTGAAACTCTGGAAATGCATCTCACAGCACATATGGGATACTAGTTTGAAAAGTAATATAAAAGACTGCCATTTCCCCGTGATTTTACTGTACAAAAGTGGATTTACCTATACACAGAGATTAGCGTTAAGCAAGCTGTGAATTTGCAGCACATTAGATCCTCCATTGTAAATTTACACTGAGCTGCATGGAACCATTCTCAGAGCACATTAATGGTATTCCTAAAGTAAACCAATATAGCTAGCACAGCGTAAATTCATAACAAGTAGTAGCGAGTACCTTCAAGGAGAATGGTACACAATAGGGAGCAGAGCATAAATTTATATCTAGATGAAGTCTATTACCTTCCATATAGGTAAACTCTTAATGTAGATACTTTTAGTTATTCTGAATGAGTTCTATTTATCATGAAAAGTTATTAACTCACTTCCAGATACACATTACTTAAGAAACAGCAGTAAAATACTAAATGCTGTGCTCAATCTGCAGAAGCGGAATGAAGGAACAAGCAGCACTACTTTACTGAAAGCTCTGAGGAGTATTTTGAAGGCAAGACTAAGAACATTTGCTGTCTCCCTTGGCTTCAAGTCTCTTCCTCTTGCTTTATTGGATCACATACTTTTTCTGTTCCACTTCTCAAGTTGTGAAATAAAAAAAAAAAAAAAAAAAAAAAAAAAAAAAAAAAAAAATCTGAGATGGATCAAACCAAAAGCACAAGCCATGCCATTCAATAATTACTTTTTTTTGAGGCTAGGATTCTTCTCTTAAAATAATTCGTAAAACTTCCACAGCTTTCTGGCTACTTGGTGATGCTCAGCTTTTTAAACAATCAAATGCTTTATAGTTTTGATTTACAGGCTATTCTCAGTCTTTTTCACCAATTAGTCCCACTATCTCAGCACATACTCAAAATTCCCCTTGGAAATGGAATTGCCTGATGTGAGAAACCAGGGTCATCTTCAGAGCTAAATTTTAAACTTTTATCGTATACTTCCATTTTCTGATCTTGATTTAAAATTCCATTTTGCAGACTTACAGATCCATCTCTTTTACGCCAAGAACTTAATGTAAGACCTTTCCACAATTTTATCAGTCTTCCCATGATTTGATTGCCGCAGAAAGAAGTTCAAAGAGCAGAAACTTTACAAGAAATGCTGGCGCTACCAAAGCATTTGGGACTCTGCCATTAGTTCTGAAGGCGTTTCACTTCTGGGACCTCTGTGTGGCCCTTATCTGATTTCCGACAGAAATCCTTCCAGTGTCAAAGGTCCCTCCCCTTTAATGTACAGCTGTGTCACCGCGCTCCGAGTGTTTGAACTGACGGAGAAACCGCGGCTCAGAAACCACCACGCGAAGCTGCAGACCCGGCAGGAAAGGCGAGCCCTCGCCCCGGGCAGCCGCCCCGCTCCGCCGCGCCATGCAGGTGGGTTTGGGAGAGAGGGGGAGAGGGGAGCGGAGCGGAGCGGAGGGGAGGGGAGGGGAGGG